TACACGGGCACACTGCATGGCCGCGTAGAATCGCCTTTTGCCCGCGCACGGCCATGATGCACGGCCGCGTGAAATCATGAGCTGGCTGCGTAAAATCCTTAGCTTTCTGTCAAACGTCCCAATTTCGTCCAATCGACCCTAAACTCGTGCCCAAGGCTTCATTCACGTACTAGAACTTGAAATATCATAAACAATAACAACCTAGCGTGAAATTGGCCTAAAACATGAGAGACGAGGCTCAGAATCCGCCGAGCCACTCCATCTGGGAGCTGTGGTTGCCACCACATTCGACTGGTGTCTGGGGCGGAACCGGGTGGAAACGATGTATCTGGGGGGCATCATCACTAAATTGGCCCAACACTTCGATGTGGACGTGACGGGGTGCTCCATCATTGGCCGGACCGAGCCATTTCCAGTGGAGACCCTCTACAACATGAAGCTGGTACTTGGAGGAGAGCGAGGGATCGAGTACCTCAACGGACTTCGAACTTCTGCGGCCCTAAGGCCAAGAGTCGACCCTGCTCCAGTGGAGCCCGATCCAGAGGTCCCTCATCCAGAGCAGCCACCTCCTCAAGTTCCCGGCCGCCGCCGACATCCTGCACTTCCACGTATTGCACTCCCACGACCACCACCAGCATCATCATCCGGAGCCGTTCCTTCCGCCTCCGGTGAGCACCTCGTGGAGAGGATGGATCGCCTTGAGACTCACGTAGTGGGAGTCACTTCATGGCTCGATCGACACACCGACCTGCTGGAGCGGATAGCTCGTCGCCAGGGTCTCCTTCTAGATGATGAGTCGGGACCTTAAACCCGTGATGAGGTAGCCAACGAGTGAGATATGTGGCAGAGCTGATTCCTTTCGCCCCACTTCTCCACTTGGAACTCTGAACTCTGTTATCTTTTATTTTGTTTTTCTTATTTTATTATGTGTGTGTGTGTGTGTGTGGACAACTACTACTGTATTGTTATGTGTAATAACTTCACCTTGAGCGAGTATGTGTTTGTGGTTTTCCTTGAAGCTCCAATCTCCTACCCAGGAAAAAAATTCCAACTTTCACTCACCAAGCCATGCGGTAACATCGTTCTACCCCTATCTCACGCCATTGAGGGCAATGTTGAGCTTAAGTGTGTGTGTGCGGGGGGGGGGGGGGGGGGGGGGGGGGGGGGGGGGGGGGGTAGTTTATTATTATGCTTGTGTGAGTGTGATTGAATGCTTGGAACCTTGATGTATGCCCAAATTTGAAAATTTTGAGGGATCCAAGCAATGCTTGCATGATCAAAGGGGCCGGTTTGTGGGAGAATCTCGTGTTTATTGACATTAACCTTGAATTATTGCATGTGATCGAGTGTGTACTATGATGATGACTAAGAGGCGCATTAGGATAGTGCAAAGGTTTAGTTCTCATGTGTGCAAAAATGAATGGATGTCTTGACTCGATTACATGTTGATTACAATTGCCATGCATTGTGTTTTGTGAATTGGACTAGATGGTTGGGTGACTAGGTAGAATATGAGTTTTGAGCCGATCATTTTCTTCTTTTGTGCTTAGATCCCTCTTACCATGGCAAGTAACATCACAGTTGTCACTAGTGAGCATGATGGAGGCATACGATTAGTCTACACCCAAATGTTGATTGTCCCGAAATGTTCTATCCCCTAGTCAACCCCTTTGAGCCTTGTGACTATGGGGGGTCGTTCTCTTGTATGAGCTTTTCGCTTGCAAGCTTAATGATGTTTGATAGAACGACCCCCATCCTTTCTTCGTGTCTATACGTGAGTCGTCCTTGTGTCCCGAAGCCCATGCTTTGTAGCTCAATTGAGGTTCTACATAGGAGGATCTTGCGCGGTTCTTGCTAGAATATAAGAGGTAGTGCTGGGGTGAGTTCTTAATCGAGAGCATTGTTCATTAAATGGAATGTGTTCCACTCTCTAGTACCCCCTCAAAAAGAAAAGAAAAGAGAAAAGGAAAGAAAAGAAAAGAAAGGAAAAGTAGGAAGAAAAAGAATCGAAAAAGAGGTAATAAAATGGGGTAAATAAGTAGAGAGTGGCCATAAAATCAAAGTGTATGCTCTAGGAATGGTTTCTTGGCACTCAAGTCATTTAAACACCCAAATTGATGTTGAACTCCTTCACTACTATGTTTGAAATATGATAGCAAGAGTAGGCCGATGAAGTGTGCTTGAATGTGGTTCGTGATGGGTGATAGCTTGGTTTGGAAGGAAGTAAGGCTTTTGGCCGATGCTAGTAGCCGTTGTGTGTAGGGAAGGTTCTTAGTCAAAGCCATAGAACCTTCGGTTTTAAGTTGAAGATGTAGGACCTCATGTTGTGTTTGCCACCACCCAAAAGGCATTTTCCCCATGTCCAAGACAATTGCCAGTCATTTGAACCCATGTCTAAGACCTCCGGACAAGCTAGTGATGACAACCATCTCGTGAAATCTAGCATTTAGAGGTTGCCGCCATGGTGAAGAGACGATAATGCCGAGTGTGATGATTGTGCACATTTTTTGCACCGAATGGTCCCGACCCCACTGGTCAAGAGAGTGAGTGATTTATTCCTATTTTGCATGTCATATCATATCCTGGTGAGGACCTTTGTTGCCCATTCATTTATTCCTTGGACTTGAATGTTACGCATGGTTAGTTGTGGTTGATGAGTGATCTTGTTGAGACTTGCATTGATTCATGAACAAGATGAGAACTTTTCGTTTGCCCGTTTTTGGTGGCCTCGAATGTCATTTGTGGTGGGTGTCGGTATTGCTTGCAACGGTCCATGTGTTAATTGTCAATAGCCATTGAGATTCCCCACTTTGTGCCCTTTGAGTTGTCCCCAAAGTATTTTGTTAGGTTGAGATATTACCTTGTGTGAAATGGTTTGCTTGGGGACAAGCAAACGACTAAGTGTGGGGGAGTGATACGAGCCTAAATGTACACTTTTTTATCCCCGTTTCTCTCTTGAGTTTGTGGCATTTGAGCTCCAAAAAGGGTGGTTTTATGCTAGGTTTTCTGTGGTTCATTATGTTTCAGAGTCTAACAGGTGGAACCAACCCCGGAGTCGAAAGTTGAAAGAAAAGGCGCGAGGACAGAGCAAAGAGGAGGAAGTGACCGATGTTCACGGCCCAAGTTGTGAATTCACGGTCGCTAGGACTGTGAACTGGAACCTCAAAACGTGAACTGGAGAAGTTCCAGAGGGTTTCCACAGGTTACTGACACCGAGTTAGTTCACGGTCGTAAGGCTGTGAACTGAAGCCATGGACCGCGAACTGCATAAATAAGCGGTGCGTTTTGGCTGTGTTCACGGTCCAGGCCAGATGTTCACGGACGTGAACTGCGCGATCAGTCTATAAAAGGGGAGCTGAAAGGAAGAAGAGGGGGAGGCCAAAGTGAGAGAAACCTTCTTCTTCTTCAAACCCTAGAGAGAGAAAGTCACGAACCAAGAGGGAGAAGAGGCTAGGGTTTGCTCCAAGTCAAGATTTGGGAATTTTCTCTTCAAGAGAGGATCTCTATAAGCACAAGGAAGGATTGAGGCATCATAATGATGATTTTTTCCCCCTTTTTCTTTGTGTTCTTCCTTCTTCAAGCATGGAGTAGTCTCTTATTCACCTAGGTGTTGTAGAACCCTAACTTCTACCATGTACTTGATTGTGTGGATTGTATGTTTGTGTGTGGGTGATGCTTACTTTAAGATTTGAGGTATTGTTCATGATGATTGTGCATTGTGTGTGCTTGGCAATCTATTGTGCTACTCTAACCTAGCTTAGAGAGAAACTCCCTTATCTTAAGAGGCTCAAATTGAGCTGGGTCTTCTTAGGCATTCCATGCCTCCTAGCTAGGTTAAGGTAGGGCAAACCTCTAAACTCAAATTAGACACCTAGGATAACTGTGATTAAGCGGTCCAAATCTCGGTTTGAGAGAGAAGGTAAGTCAACTCTCAAGTGCTTGGGCCGAGAGGGCTACAGTCGTAGCCTAGAATGCATTCCTTGGCTTAGCGATTGAGAGTGTGGTTTCCAACCACTATTACTCCTCCTAACGGTTCCCAATCATCTTGTCGCACACTAATTCATTCGATCCCACGGTTCATGGTAGTTAGTTAGGGGGAAACAACTCACGAGTGAAGCTTCTCACCAAGAGTTTAAATCCTTTTACTTTTCAAGTTTTGCATTTTTAATCGTAGTTTGTAGATATTCTTACAAACTTCATTCCGCTAGATAATGTTTCAAAAAGTAGGGGTACATGGACCTGTCTAGGTTGATATTTAAACATACTTGCCCTATATTGCACCCATTTAAGATTTATATTTGGGCCTTAGGTGGGATTTAAGTGTGATATTCAGGACGAGTCAATAACTAATGCAAAATCAATATAATTAAATCTATTTTAATAATTAACATGCATTGTAAGGGTTGTTTGTTCCGAATTCACCAATTATTGTGCTCCCGTCATTAATGACATAATATTTAATGATAAAATAGTTTTACGTCGAAATTAAAAAAAATTATATCAAAACGTTCATATTAATTAATTATTGTTACCTGTATACAAAGAATCTACAAACTATAATTAGAATGATGAAATATACATTCAACTAGATTATCACAAAAAAAAAAAAAGATTTGGCATTTTAGCATTTTGGCTAGCTTGTTGGAGCAAAAACCACTTTTGGAGTGCCAAATTGTCAAAACCATTTGTCATCCTATCATTTTGGCATTTCCTTATTGGAGATGGTTTAGGAATTAGCCATATGTTAACTTTTAGTTAACAATTTTGTTAGTAATATTGACTTGGCAACATGATACTAATTTGGAAGAGACACACGAAGATCAACTTTCAAAAATTTTAGTATTTTAACTAAGAAAATAGTTACAAAATTATTAACTCTAACATTAAAATGACCAATATTTTGATACACACGAAAGATTTGACTAATTAATAGCATTTAATAGATTTGGATAATATAAAAAAATCTAAAATAAATTTGAAATATAAATTTACATTACCCTTTTATAAAATATTATATTTTGAGAATTTCTTTAAGTTAAAAATCCTAACAATCCACTCCTAAAATCCCTCAACACCCGGATTTCTCATTTTGTCTCTGTTCAAACCCCTGCCGACAGTTCCACGATGGCCTCCATACCAGCCGAACCCTCAATCGCAAACTCGTCCTCCACTCTGTGTCAACAGCTGCCCGTCGGCCGTCATCCTGCGCGGATCCGTCTCCCTGGCCGCCGCGCGGTGGCCTACGAGTTGCCAGACTTCAGAGGGTTGAAGGTTCAAGCGCCATCGAAGAAGTTGACATTTACTGCGAGGAGTCCTCGGTTGCCTACAAGAAACACCCGGTGCATAGTCTGCGAATGCGATGCTCAGGAAACTGCAGTCGATAGTAAGTCCTGTTAATTTTTTTTTTCTTACCCAGAAATTTTGGCTGTCCCCCTTTTCGAAATATGGATCCGCTTGTCCAAAGATGCTTGATTTGGTTTCTTTGAAAGTATTCGGTGTTCTTGCTGGATAGTGTTTGCTTTCAATTCAGGCCATACTTGATACTTTATAGAATGAATTGATTTTCATTGAGAATCCGCTTCCCCTGCTTTCTCTCTCTGGATGTCTACAGGTTTCCCCAAACTGGCAAAACCCAATTCGGGGAAAATATATAAAGTTGTGGCTATTGCACCTTTTTGAGGATTCTATGCAGTTTGGATAGCTATCAGGAACTTCTTGCATCTTCTTCGCACAAGGGTCTAGTGGGAAAACTTGACTAATATTGTGCAAGTTAGAAGATGAGGGCTTTCCTCTGCAAAGGCTACCCTGATCTTCTAATCCTCATTTGACCTTTCTTAAGCCTATTGAACTTCTATGTTCCCTCGTTCATTGGAAAACTTTCCATCTGTTATCACAGAAGTGAAAGCTTGTGCCTTTTGCCTAATTGGAGTCCTAAGACTTTAGCTTTAGCAGAGTGTCTATTGGTTGAAATGTATTATACAAGTTCTGCAGTTCAGTTTCTGATAGACAAGGTAATATGAAGTGTGGCATTGCGCTTGTTTTGTAGATACTTTGAGTCTTCTATTTCTGCAGTTTATAACTGTACACTCCGACGCATCTTGTTTAGCACCGGATCGTAGTCTAGTTGGTCAATAAGCGGTTAGAAGTTAAGACTTCCACATCCCAGGGAGATTAGGGGAAAGCTGCTAGTCGGAAGGTTGAATCACTCCTTACAAGCTGTTCTTGTTTCATTGGTGAAGCAGGGAGCTGGCAGTTAATGCCAGTTCTAATTCTAACGCGTACTAAGCATTCTTGCAGGTATCTGACAGTTTCATATACGATGGCGTGAGAATGTTATAATCACTGCTCTATTATTTGGATTCAAACTCATGCTGTAGTTTTATGTTACTTTGTTCTTTGGCACTGCATATTGCTAGCAGATTCGAGTAAACCAAATCGAAGTATCTTCAAACTGTTACTCACCATGCTCTTCTAATCTGGTTATGTGAAGTATCCAGACTAATTAAGAAGTTGTCATGTGTTCTCCCAATCAACAAGAAAATTTGTCATAAGCATTCTAGCCCGGCCGCCTATCACATTTTCGACCCATTTTTCATTAAATGGCGTGCTTGTTTGCCCTAATTGTTTGTGAACTTTTTTCCCCCAGTTCCAACAGCAAGTGATGAGACATGGCAGTCATTAGTCCTGGAAGCGAAGGGAGCAGTGCTGGTTGAATTCTGGGCGCCATGGTGCGGGCCATGCAGAATGGCGCATCCAGTAGTAGCCGAGCTGTCCAGGCAATACGCTGGGAAGGCGAAGTTCTACAAATTGAACACCGACGACAGTCCGTCCACTGCAACCAAGTATGGCATTCGCAGCATCCCAACCATCATCATTTTTGTCGATGGTGTGAAGAGAGATGCAATTATTGGGGCTGTACCCAAGACAACACTAACTGCCACCATTGAGAAACTATTGTAACAACACGTTTTTATGCCTTTTGAGTTTTGGTTACTGCGGACCAGCTGAAATTTATTAAAGAAGCAAGATTTCACTTTCAGAGGGGAAGTTTAATATGTTTACAACCATTTAGTGAGGAAGTCGTCTAGATGCTGAACGCTGATCACTGCTCAGTGGAATGCGATTAGTGGCCAACCTCATAAAAAGATAGAATGGTGATAACTATGTTTATTAGTTTTTAAATTAAGAAGTCAATCTAATGGTTAAAATTAAATAAGAGTATATTAGACAATCTATAACCCACTAATCCCAAACTCTAGCGCGTATATGCCACTCTCATCCCTAAGCAGCCGCCAACCACCTCCATACCTCCATTCAGCTGAGCGTCTGGACTCCGGATTGCCCTCTTGGCCCTTTCTGTGTTAGGATTTAGGAGCATGTTCCATTGGCAACAGGTTTACCTGTCTCACATTGGGAGTTGTTTGGCCCCTTATCATGGCCATGCTTTTGATAATTTGATATAAGCATGCTATCGAAGTAAGATACCAATGTTAGTAAATGTTATTTCATTCCTGATTGAACCTCTGCCAAAAACTCGAGTTATTGGGATCAACTCGTTATTGACATGGTATCAGAGTTTTCTATAATCAAGAGGTCTGTTGTTCGAATCCCGATGACTCCATCTGTTTCGGTTAAGTACATGGTGTTCGGACATGTGCAAACTTCAAACCCATATATGGTGGTTTTCGTTTGAGTGAGTGTGTTAGTTAACGGTATATGATCCACGAATACCATTGCCACTCTCCCAACAACTCAAGTTATTGGTATCAACTAGTTCTTGACAACCAAAAATCAGTGTCCTTGTCTAGACCTATTCCCAAGGTAAGGCTCTTGCATAATTAAGGTTAGACACAATTTCATAATAAAATTGAGCCTTTAGTTTTGAGTGGTGTCACGGTGTATGGGCTCAATGTTATTTGGGTTCGGGTTCTGGGCCTGGTCTGTAACCGTTTCCTTTGCCAGATTGGATTAGGTTTAGACCCACATGGAGAAGTACTATAAATACTTCTCATACTCCTCTGTAATCTGTAATCTCCTCGATATAGTGAAACTGGCTCTCTCTCGCCCGTGGACTAGCTAACACACATCGTGTTAGTGAACCACGTAAATCGTGTGTCTGTGTTTTTCGATTCTCGCTTTCGTATTCTTGCTTTGTCGATTCCGGCGATTTCCCGATCCGTAGCAGCGCGTTTATAACAAGTGGTATCAGAGCCGCAGCTGGAAATCAGGCTAGGGTTTTCGATTCAGAAGAATGACGTCGGTGAACATGAAGATCGAAAAGTTCACGGGGAAGAACAGTTTCGCTATATGGCAGATCAAGATGCAGCCTTTATTGAAACAGCAAGGGCTGTGGGGGCCGCTGTCTGCGAAACAGAAGAAGGCAGCGGTCGATGACGATGATTGGAATACCCTGGAGGAGAAGGCCCATTCGACCATCATGCTATCGTTGTCTGATGACGTCATCATTGAAGTCGCTGCTGAGAAGAATGCCGCGGGCTTGTGGTTGAAACTGGAGAGTCTGTATATGACAAAGTCTCTAACCAACAAGCTGCATCTCAAGCAACGGTTGTTCAGCTTGAGGATGCAAGAAGGTACGCCATTGAGGGAACATCTCGAACAGTTTAACTCTATTTTGCTTGATCTGCGTAATATAGATGTTCAAGTTGATGATGAGGATGCTGCCCTAATCCTGCTGGTTTCTTTGTCTAGTTCATATGAGAATTTCGTTGATTCTTTTATTGCCGGTAAAGAAAGCGTGTCGTTGGAGGATGTCAGGTCTGCTCTTCATACGAGAGAGATCAGACATAAGGCGTCCGGATCTGGTACAGGTGGTGAGGCATCGGGTTTGGCTGTTACAGGTGGAAAGGGAAAGAAGAAATCTGGTAAATGGAATTCGAGAAAGAATTCCAAGGGTCCCAGTCCACAGCCAGGTGATGCTTGTCACAACTGTAAGGAAGTGGGGCATTGGAAGTACAACTGTCCCAAGAGAAGAGGGCAACAGAAGAAACAAGGTTCAGTTGCCGTGGCAGAAGTGGACAACAGTTCTGAAGACGATCTCGCCTTGGCTGTAGACGAGAAGGCACATCTTGGGGATGTGTGGTTTCTGGATACTGCAGCCTCATACCATATGTCTCCGAACAGGGATTGCTTCACAATCTACAAGCAGATAGATGGTGGTAACGTGGTCATGGCAAATGAAGCTGTCTGCAAGGTTGTTGGAATCGGGTCCATAAAGGTTCGGACACATGATGGTTCGTTCTGTACCGTGAATGATGTCAGGCATGTTCCACGAATGACAAAGAACCTGATCTCCTTGAGTCTACTCGACAGCAAGGGTTTCAGCTTCAAAGGAAAAGGTGGAGTTGTGTATGTCTGCAAAGGTTCAAGGAAGGTGCTGAAGGGCCTGAAGCGTGGGACCTTGTATGCATTACAAGGGTCTGTGATGTCTGGTTCTGCTGCAGTTGCATCGTCTCAGGTTCAACAGGAAGATATGACCAATCTCTGGCACATGAGACTGGGGCATATGAGTGAACGGGGGATGCAAGTTCTATCGAAGATGGATCTTCTTTGCGGGCACAAGGTGCAGAATTTGGAATTATGTGAGCATTGTGTGTTTGGGAAGCTACATCGCAGCAAGTTTCCCAAGAAGGGTATCCACCGGATGAAGGGGATACTGGATTACCTCCACTCCGACTGTTGGGGTCCTTCACGAGTTGAATCCATTGGAGGCAGCAGGTATTTTCTGTCTATGATTGATGATTATTCGAGATTTACTTAGATTTTCATGATGAAGCAGAAAAGTGAGGCTTTCACGAAGTTCAAGCAGTGGAAGACATTGGTGGAGAATCAGATCGGTAAGAAGATCAAGAAGCTGCAAACGGACAATGGTCTGGAGTTCTGTAATTCTGAGTTCAACGAATTCTGCAAGGATGAAGGGATTGCCCATCATCGGATTGCTAGAGATACACCCCAACAGAATGGCGTTGCAGAAAGGATGAACCAGACATTGTTGGAGAGAGCACGGTGCACGCTCTCTAATGCTGGACTAGAGAGAAGATTCTGGGCAGAAGCAGTAAACATGGCGTGCTTCCTGATCAACCGTGGACCACACACAGGTATCGAGTGTAAAACTCCTTATGAAGTGTGGTATGGTAATCCTGCTGATTACTCTTTACTGAAAGTTTTTGGGTGTCCTGTTTATTATCACGTGGATGAGGGTAAACTGAACCCAAGGGCAAAGAAGAGTATATTTGTGGGTTACGGAGATGGAGTTAAGGGATTTCGAGTCTGGTCACCTTCTGAGCATCGAGTTATACTTAGTATAAATGTGATATTTGATGAGAAGTCTATGTTTAACCCCATGTTGAAGGTTACTGCTGCTGAAGGTAGCAGAAATGTTGATAAGCAGGTGGAGCTGCAAACTCTCAATGAGAGTGAGTTTGAGCACCAAGGTGGAGAAGATCAACATGATGAGGATGTCTCTGCAGAGCCATAAACTTCAGAGTCCAGTGCACGAGCTAAACAGTCTATTGCTTCCGGTAGACCGAAAAGAGCGACTGCAGGAGTACCTCCACAGAGGTATGGCTTCGAGGACATGGTGGCGTATTCATTTCAGGTTGCTGAGGAAGTGGATGCAGGAGAGCCACAGTCCTATAGAGAAGCAGTTTCGGGTGGTGAAGCTGATCAGTGGCTTGGCGCAATGGGAGATGAGATGGAATCCCATGACAGGAACCAGACTTGGGAGCTAGTCAAACGAGCACAGGGAAGGAAGATTGTTACAAACAAGTGGATCTACAAGAAGAAGGAAGGAATCACTTCTAAAGTGGGCATGAAATTTAAAGCTCGAGTGGTTGCACGAGACTTCTCGCAGAGGGAAGGAGTTGACTACAATGAGATTTTCTCACCAGTGGCCAGACATACTTCGATCAGAGTGCTAGCTAGACGTGAAGACAGCTTTCCTACATGGAGAGTTGGAAGAAGAAATTTACATGACTCAGCCAGAAGGATTCGAGGTTCCGGGAAAAGAAGACTATGTTTGTACGCTGAAGAAGTCCTTGTATGGACTTAAGCAATCTCTGAGGCAGTGGTACAAGAGATTTGACAGTTACATGCTTGAGCTGGGCTACAACAGAAGTCCATATGATTGTTGTGTATATCACAGCAAGGCAGAGGATGGTTCGATGATATATCTAGTTCTGTATGTGGATGATATGCTCATAGCTGCGAGGTCAAAGTCTGATATCCAGAAGTTAAAGGGGCTTCTCAGTGCTGAGTTTGAGATGAAGGATATGGGACTGCTCAGAAGATCTTGGGTATGGAGATTTACAGGGACAGGTCGAAGAGGAAGAAGCTTTTCTTGTCACAGAAGAGCTACATCCAGAAGATACTGTCGAGGTTTGGCATGTCTTCAGCAAAGCCCTTAAATACTCCTAGTGCTTCAAATGTTCATCTATCCTCAGCTTATGCACCGCAGTCAGAGGCTGAGAAGGAGTACATGTCGAGAGTCCCATATACTAGTGCAGTAGGTAGCTTTATGTACGCTATGGTATGCACTAGACCTGATCTTGCACATGCTGTTAGTGTTGTCAGCAGGTTTATGATACAACCTGGGAAGGAGCATTGGCAGGCTGTGATGAGGATCTTCCGGTACCTTAAGGGTACACCTGATGTGGGGATTAGCTTCGGAAGTGATACAGAGTGCTTGGTATCTGGGTATTCGGACTCGGACTATGCTGGAGATGTTGACACGAGGAGATCGATGACCGGTTATGTATTCACTCTTGGGAGTTCTGTAGTGAGCTGGAAGGCAACTCTGTAGTCGGCGGTGACATTGTCTACTACCGAGGTAGAGTATATGACGTTGACAGAAGCTGCTAAGGAGGGAATATGGTTGAAGGGACTGGTTGATGATCTGGGTCTACATCATGATCAGGCAGTGGTGTATTGCGACAGTTTGAGTGCAATATGCTTGGCCAAGGATCAAGTCCACCATGAGAGGACTAAGCACATCGATGTGAGGTATCATTTCTTGAGGACAGAGAAGAGGATTAAGGTGAAGAAGGTTGGAACCGCGGATAATCCTGCTGATATGTTC